CTTGGTGCCTTTGACCGCGTCGAGCAGGATATTCTTGGACTTGAGATCGCGGTGGATGATCGGCGGGTCGAACGTGTGGAGGTAGACAAGGCCAAAGACGATGCTCTGGACGCAGAGAGCCTTGTCGCTCCACGGAAACTGCGTCGCCGTGTGGGTCGCGAGGTAGGTACGGAGGTCGCCGAGGTCCATGTACTCGACGACCGCTTCAATGTCAATGGGGCGTGTCCAGCTGGCGCCAACGAGCTTGACAATGTACGGGCTCTCCATCCTATGAATCGACAAGAATTTGGAAGAGCGAGGATTAGGGTTGGGTGATGGACGTACTTGGCCATGAGGCTGATCTCGGCGATAAAGTGCTGGACCGAGACGGGATCCTTGTTCTTGTTGCGCTTGATAGCGACAGGGCCCTCGTTGTACGTGCCGCGCCAGACTTCGCCAAAGGCACCGGCCGCCAGCGGCTTCTTGGAGGTTGTCGAGAGGGCGAGGGGGTTGATCTTGTACAGTTCGAGTTGGTGGAGCTCGTCCGTCAGTGCCGTGTCGGATCCGACGCTGGTATCTAGAGTCTGTCGTTGGAGGCGGCGGTAAATGAAGAGTGCGAGGAGAAGCGAGGCGGCGAGCACAGCCGCGGTAACGCCAAAGATCAATTCCCACTCTATCTGCCACGATGAGCCGTCGTGACAATATCCATCAGTGTGCTACGTACGCGACTTTGTCGCCTGTGGCGCTAGTGTTGTCGACGGAGGCAGCGTCGCGGCCGCCACGACACACGTCGTGTTGTCCGTGTTCCAGAGTTTGCGGAGGACGCCATTTTGGGCGGTGCAGTCGGTGGCGCTGGTTGAAATCGAAATATCGACCTGTGCGCGTCCCGACCGGGGCTTGGGTGGCACCGCATTGACAGCGTTGAACGTCGCATTGTCCATGATGCAGGTCGTCATGTTGCACTCGGGACACACACTACGTGACGATGAGTCCATAGCTCCGTCGATACAGCAGCAACAATAATTCCAGGCGTGACGACAGCGAAACGTTGCGAAACGTCGTCACATTGTTGAGCTCTCTACAAGAAATGGATAAACAAAGGTCCTCGAATCGCATGACAATATTGTACAGATTCTGGACGCTGGTCCAATCGACGTCGTGGAGGGCCGTGGCGCGCGTGTTCAAGTACCACGTGCTACACGTGCATGACCACCCGAAAAGTGTTGCTTTCTGTGGTCGCACAAGGCGGTGACGCGCGCCGGTAGAGCGAACGGCTGGACGAGATTCGTTCGTTCAAACGACCTAATGGTCAGTGATCGTCGATACGGCAATACTGTGTGGAGCGACGTACACATCTTGGAGCGATGGCGGCAAGACAAATGTGTCCACCATCTCGGGCGAGAACGCGACGTCAAAGAACTGTCTACATCCGAGCGTTTCAGGTCCGCCAACGTCATCCTTTCAAACGCACAACGACGTGAGTGACGCAATGCCCGTCGCGTTGATCGAGGCGAGCGACATGTTGTATAGTTCCCTACTCCACATTGTCCACATACATATACACCAAACCATTTACAAGCCAAGAAGGGTCGGTGGCAGCAGCAGCTGATCCAAGCGGTAAGGCACGCTCGGCCCGATGCCATAGAGCTTTCTACATAATGTGAGTACGGTTGTATGAGAGTGAAAAGCACCAACAATTTTGTGCTCGTGTGTCCGAGGAGGTTGCCAATCGTCGTGTTGGCGTAGAGCGTGAAGCGCGTCGTGTTGCTTGGAAACGCTGCGAGCACCGTGCAGTTGGCGGCCAAAAGACAAGTCGTCGATGGCGGGCAAGTGCCACCAGAGATCAAGTACGTGGCGTTGGGCGGACGTTGGACGTTGTTGGTGCAAGGGATCGCCAGCGTCCACGCCAGCGCAGTCATTGCGGTAAGGATGCGCTGCATGTGCTTGTTGTTGGGACAAATGTCGAATCGGACCCTGCACGACGATCGCAAGCTGTCAAAAACTCGGGTGGGATCCAGCTGCACTTGGGCAAACCACTTGGCTTGGGCTGAGAGTTCACATTGCCATGCAAAGCGAAGTTCGAAGATCACATTTTATCCGGATTCGACCATCAACCTTGTGGCAAAAACGCTTGTCGGTGGCCTCGAGACTTGCTGCATTCGCCCACATCAAGATGCATTCGGAAAGGAAATGCATGAGCACGAGCGTTGAATGCTCTCTTTACACGTGTATCTTGGCGACGAGGTGGCCCCGGCTTTCTCTACGCATTATCCAGTTGCGGTGGCAACATGTCGCGTTATCCGGAATCGAAATTCGAAGTGTGGACGCCTTGGCGCTCAAATGGAGTTTCCATCAGTGCGCCTTGTCAAGGCGGTCGCTCGCGCATGTGGGATAATACTGTACCTGGCACTGCCTCAAGCCAAGCTAGGCGGCTTGGCACCAGGCTTCTCAGCGGACACAGCTGGTCGGCTGCATATTTTTCAATCCAGCAACAACAACCCGAAACAACCCGACACCCGTCAGATGCTTTTCGTCATTTTTCGATTTTGACAAGACGACATGAGTGCGTGCCCGTACGCCGCCTTTGGCGCTTTTCGGTATTTCGTGGCCGACAGTACGTGCAAAAGTGACACGTGCATCGTCGACGCCGCGTGCACGACGTGGTCGTCCCAAGTTGGGCGAATGACGCGCTTTGATCTTCCCGCCGGCACGCGCATTGGCAATTTGACCAACTTTGCCAGCACCACTCTGTCGGCTCAACCGATGCTATGTCGAGTCGATGGTCATGCTTGCTGTTTAGGACGCTCAATGGCTCGGACCGCGCGGTGGGCGACCTCTTCACGCGCGCGCTGCTGCCGCCAACGTTGCGTTCCTTGTACGACCATTCCAGATACTACAAGTGGCGATGACGTGGTCTAGAACGTTTGAGAGCATGCGTCTGAGCCCACTGCGCACGCTGCCGCTGCCGCCGGGCGTTCTGCACTTGTGCGACGACGGGATGTTTGCGTGTCGACTCTAATTTATTGCACAGAACGATTCATGACTGTGCGCTGGTGGCCGTCGACACGCTCGATAAGCTGCAGTGGCCACCGCTCTTGGCGTCCTTGTAACGAACGCACACGTGGCAATTCCACTCACTCTAAGTAGGACGCTGCGTCAAACAAACGTCCTCGACTTACCCGACCTCACCACCTTGCCGCCAAGCGTCACCGAGCTGTACGCCTCTTGATCGATGCGCGGGATAGAAGGCGGCATGACAAGTAGATACATTGCTGAAGACAAGGTGACCACTCTCCAAGACTACGACTGGTCCCACCTCGAAGCCATGTACACGTCACGAGTCGAATCGTTGCTTATTCACAATCCCATGTAGTACCTTGGAGTCGACAGCGCGCCCAATTCGGTTGACCAACGTCACCTTTTCGTCGCGGCTTCAAACCTTGTAAACTGCTGCATTTTACAAAATGTCTCATGCTCCACTAGCGACTTTGACAACGTCAACATTGTCAACATGACGATCGACAATGCCACGTTCCACGCGCTGGTCGCCCTCTCGCCGAGGAGCGTCAGCGACAAACGAGGCTATCGCATTGGCTCGATACAAACAAGTGCGGACGACTGCACACTCCAAGGCGGCCAGCCCCGTACGCTATGGAGCCCCACAAACAGTGTGTGCGTGCTGGTCCCTGCGCCAACGCTGGCACCGTCCGAGCAGCTGCCGCCCCAACTGTCGCGTACAGCACAACTTGATCGGGAATTGTACAAATCTTACGCTACGCTAGGCGTGGGTATGGGTCTCGGTATTGCGGCCGGTGTCCTTGCCGTCGGGCTCATCATCGCTCTCACCATCTACCGCCGCCTGAGAAAAAAGCGAGCGCTCGACCATGGCTCGACCATGGCCTCGTCCGTGCTCGCAGAGGAGCTTCGCCATCTCGACCTGTACAAGCTCGACCCGCTTCTGTTGCACACCACGTCCAAGACGCCGCTGGCGGCCGGTGCCTTTGGCGAAGTCTGGCGCGGCACGTACAACGAGGGCCCTGTCGCTATCAAGCGCAACAAGAACAAGGATCCCGTCTCGGTCCAGCACTTTATCGCCGAGATCAGCCTCATGGCCAAGTACGTCCATCACCCAACCCTAATCCTCGCACTTCCAAATTCTTGTCGATTCATAGGATGGAGAGCCCGTACATTGTCAAGCTCGTTGGCGCCAGCTGGACACGCCCCATTGACATTGAAGCGGTCGTCGAGTACATGGACCTCGGCGACCTCCGTACCTACCTCGCGACCCACATGGCGACGCAGTTTCCGTGGAGCGACAAGGCTCTCTGCGTCCAGAGTATCGTCTTTGGCCTTGTCTACCTCCACACGTTCGACCCGCCGATCATCCACCGCGATCTCAAGTCCAAGAATATCCTGCTCGACGCGGTCAAAGGCACCAAGTTCACCGACTTTGGCATCTCGCGCGAGATCGACGAGTCGAGCATGACCAACGGCATTGGTACGTACCAGTGGATGGCCCCCGAGGTCATTAGCGGGACGCGCTACTCGGCGGCCGCCGACGTCTACTCGTTTGGTACCTTTCTTTTTGTTGGTCTCGAATACGGTTTGCTGATGGGACGTGATGGGGTTAGGGGTCGTTTTGGCCGAGCTGAGTACCCACCAAGTCCCGTACTCGGATGCAGTTCATCCCGAGACGGGTCGCGCACTCACACAGCAGTCGATTCTGTCGAAAGTGACAACGGGCGAGCTCCAGCCGACGTTTGATGCGACGACGCCGATGTATGTCAAGGAGTGGGGCAACCGCTGCTTGGCCACAAACCCGGATGACCGACCGACAACGCTCGAGCTGACGCTGTTTGTACGGGAACTCGTCCAG